CGCCTCTTCTTAGGCTGAACAACCCCAACTCTCTCAGCCTTTCTTCAGAGGAGAGGTGTTCCATCCCCCTGATCGTTTTTGTGGCCCTCCTCTGGACCCGCTCCAACAGGTCCGTGTCTTTCTTATGCTGAAGACATATATACACACACACATATATAATATATACTTTTTTTATATATACATGCACACATATATAATATATACATATATATTTATATACATTTATATTTTGATAATAGCTTTGTGCTACACTTTCCAGCTTCCCTTTATATTTTATTCTCTAGTAAAGCCAACCTAATCATTATTGTCTACTCCCAGCATCAGCCTACAGCCAAGGAAACTATTAGAAAAATTACAAAAATAAAGCTAAGGCAAACCACAGAAGCAAGCAGGTGAAGGCAAGGGACTATTAAAAGAAAATAGCTTTTTAAACAATACTGAATAGGGACAGCGGACACCTCTTCATGTCCTACCATGTAAAAATATAATAGACCTTAACTTACACAGAGGTAACTCCCTTTCTCCCTTTTTAACAAAAGATGTATGTTCACAAAACATATGCAGGAAAAAAAAAATCAGTACTTACAACAGGGTTTTTTGTGTCTGGGTCAAATTCTGTAGAATTTGCATCTGAAACCAAAGTTCAAAACAAACATAGTACATTTCCATTGTTCTATGTGCACTACAAACTCATTGTAACAGTTCTGTGGCATTTTAGGGCTTGTCTGCATGTAAGCTACAATCTTGTATGTTGAAACACATACTGCATCACTTCTGAGGCAAGCATGGGAAGCATATGACCTCAGTCACACACTCCCTTTCCTACTTCCCAAAACCTTGTCCTCTCAGCTCTTAGTAGTAGAATTTCATTGGTGAACTAAATCTCTTCATACTACTACTGCAGTGGCTATGGTTTGGCTACTCCAACTAATGAAAGCAAGTGAGAAAACCACTTCTCACTTTTTACTCCCACCACCTGCGCACTCCAGAAAGAGACTACAGAGGTGAACTGCAAGCACATTTTCTCCTACACTCCTTAGATCACGAAACAGGTTTCAAGCAATCTGTGTAAGAGTTACTCCCTTGTACAGAAAGGTAGTACAGGGTGCTTAGCTGAAAATGATCAGGTTGCAAGAGCTAAGTACCTAATGATCATAGGATCTATATAATAGTTCTAATAATAGACATACATTTCACATATGGAATAAAATTTCTTTTAAGCAAATCATATTCACACTAGCATACTAAGCTCACCTTTCCAATTCAAACAGTTTCTTGCAAATTCCACAACTGCTAACTGCATTCCCAGGCAAACTCCTAGAAGAGAAAACAAAAACCCCAGAATTTAACAGGACAAACAGCAGGACTGACAAAGTACTTGCTGTTCTGTCTTAAACTTGACTGCTTAGAAATCTTGGTACCCAGTGTACACACACAGAATTACCAAAAAGCTAAAACAAAAATGGCTGCTCAATGTAAAACTCACTCTTCAAACTTGGCACACTGTAAATACACATGACACAATTATGTGCTTTAAGCCCTCCCAAAAATATTTTTTTTCCTCCCATCTATTTTACCAATAAAAAAATAAAGACAAACAAAAGCTGAAAGCCTGTGTATATCCAGATTCAAATTTTGCTTTGGCAACTAGTCAAAGTAGTCACTTATAAAATTGTAAGAAATATGGAGCAGGAACCAAAACTTTAGAGGCACTTACATAAACAGCACTTAGCTTATAGGTCAGATGGCATCTTTAGACTTTACCATAATAAAATATACCAGTAAATCAACAAAAATTATTTAATATAGCAAATGTGTCCAAAGACACTTATGTTTTCTGCACACCGATTAATATCTATAATGATGCTGATTTAATTACAATGAGAAGCAAAGACTCTCCAAATAAAATTTGAATATAGCAAATAAAACCTCTGGAGTAGGGACACTCTTTTTCTTCCTTCCTACACAGCAGATGTAGTACATGACTATGACCCTGGGCATTATTTACAAGGCAAATATTCACAACAGCACACGTACTTCCCTAAGACAGGATCCTTCCCTAGTGTGTGTTTGTTGTTTGGGTTTTTTTTAAATCAAATCAATTAGCTTGCTATACACCTCCAAAACACAATAAATTTGGACTCTAATAATCTTACCAAGAAAAGGTTTTTTCTTTGTTCTTGCCCAGGAGATAGCTTGGAGCTTGCCTTCTGTTCCCCTAATTCCAAACCCTCCTGGGACCAGAATGCCACTGTAATGACAGCCATATAAGAAGCAACCAACATGTAGAATCAAGCCAGCAAAGGAAGTCCATACAAATTGAAGAAAGACTTTTGAGGTTATAACAAAACAAGCACAATGCACAAAAGGCATGTTTTGTATGACCATTCAGAATACACAGAATTTAACTCTAAATTTGGAGATTTGTCTCATCTACCCACCCCAATTCTCATCTGGCCAACCTCATGCTTCACAGTGAAATTCCTACTGCTTAAATAAACTAGCTACATAGAATCATAGAATCATTAAGGTTGGAAAAGACCTCTAAGATCATCAAGTCCAACCATTAACCTAGCACTGCCAAGTCCACCACTAAACCATGTCCCTGAGCACCACATCTACACCTATTTTAAATACCTCCAGGGATGGGGACTCAACCACTTCCCTGGGCAGCCTGTTCCAATGTTT